CGGCCGCGGTTGGTATTCTTTCTTTCTGTTTTTTTGGGCATTTTTGCAAAAAGGGAGAAAGAGTTTTTTTTTAAATTCATTAATTCTTATCTATAAAATGAATAACAATTGAAAACCATTAATTACTATTTTCATTTCTTCTTATGCTAATGAATTTATTCAGAATCTTGATTTTTTCCCAGTTTTTTCTCTTGTTGATTACAACTTCAATAACTTACTGTTTATATTAAAATGTATAGAAATTCAAATGATCTTCCTTGGAAACTTTAATTATCCAGCTTCGATTTAACAAAAATGAATGCTATTCTATCTTTCAAGCAGCATTTGAAGCAGTTTATAGTAAATTTGCTACACATATTCCTAATCATCCATCTTGGTTACTTTTTCACACATGTCAAGTTTTCAATCCTAGATATATCCATATTGGAAATCCTTTACGAAAGAATGGATCAATATTGGTTAAATAAGGCAACGTCATTGCCAATCCTTTCTAATATTGCTTTGGACTGCAAATATCAAAGTTGTACTGTTGAACGAAGTTTTTCTATGTACAATTCTCAAAGTTTATCTGAAGATTCTCTTAAATATTAAATACGTTATATTTTTAATGATGTTTAGAGATTAAAATTATGTAATAAATTCAACATATGAAAAAATTTATCATAAATAATTTATGTTTTATCACATCATAAAATCATCGGCCCTGCTAAATCTAGTTTGATATTACCTAAAATACTATTAATGTAGTTTTGTTCTCATTCGATTGGTAGTGGTAGTAACACGAACATTGTAACTTTTTATTCTAGTATCCCAATTTTTATAGACCTAAGTTCAGTTCAATATAGACTTTTTACAATAGAAAAATGGCAGATATACAATCACAAACAAAAATTACCGAAAATGCTGTAGTAAATTCAAAAGCTGAAACACCAATGGTAGTTAATCAAAAGTTATTAAGTGCCTTAAATTATCTTCGTGATGAACTCGAAAAGGTTCAAAAAGAAAATAAGGAGTTATCAACGGAACGGACAACTTTACTGGAACAACTGGAAACAGAGAAGAACAAGAACTTTATTGTAATAAATAGTAATAGTAATGGGATAGAAGATAATAATAGTATTCATCATACGGACAATAGTGAGGATTCTACTTTTTCAGAGGTGGGTGACGACGGTGACAATGATCGTGAAAAAAATAAGTATTTTGAAGAATTAAAAGCACAAGTTGAGCAAATTGAAAAGGAGAAAAAGGAAATTATAGCAAATGGACAACAGGAACGAGAGAAGTTGCAATTGCAGCTTGACCAAACACGGGAGGAGAAAAAGCAATTGGAAGTACAACATCAAAGTTTAATTGCGAAGTTGGCCAATTTTAAGACATCCATAGCTGATAAATTGAAAGCGGATAATGTATATATAATATATATATTTTGTTTAAATTTATAATAAATTTTTTTAATTAATTTTTTTTTATACATATGTATATATTATATTTAGGAAGAACTTAATAGGAAAAAACAAGAAATTAACGAATTGAATGAAAATAATCAAGAACTTAATAACACTATTTTGAAGTTACAAGGTGATCTATCCACTTCTCTGGATGAGAATGAGAAATCATCGCAACAATTAGAATCTTTACAATCACATATTTTTGAGATGCAACAACAAGCTTCCCTTGAAATTTCAGAAAAGGATGGTATAATTCGTGATTTACAGCATAATTTAGACCGTACAGAAAGGGAACGGGAGGAATGGGAGGTTAATGCTATGGAATTAAAAAGCGCAAAGGATGAATTACTTATTCGCATAAAACATTTAGAAAGAGAAATGGATGCCTTGAAACACGAGAAAGAAACCTTAAGAGCCGAGAAGAACAGTGAATCTGAGAGTTTGGCTAATTTACAGAATGTCTTGGAAGAATTCGAAGCAGGTAAAATTGGATTAATATTTTATAATGTTCAAATTATTTTTTACTTTCAAAGAGAAATTTTTATGAATTTTGATTTAAATTATTTCATGATAAGCTAAACAATCTGAGATTAGAGAGGCTGTTGAAGGAATACAAAGGCGACTTGCCACTTCTACTAAAGATTTAGCAGAGTTTAAAGAGCGTGCGTTACTGGCTGAAGTAAGTTAATGGAACTTTCGTATTATAATTTTTTGAAAAAAATGAATTTTTTGTCAACATTAAATGATCATACATTAGAATCAATTAACGCAAATAAAAGAGGAAATTGGCAAAACATCACAATATGAAAAAGAAATCAAGGAAAAGAATTTATTAATTGGAAAGTTGCGACATGAAGGTAAAGTTTAATTATTTGGATAACAAATTGTTTTATAAAGTAATTCATATTTTAATTATTTTATTTTTATAGCTGTAATATTGAATGAACATCTTACCGAAGCTTTGCGTCGTATGAGGGAAGAGAGTAGTGAGAATAATGTGGACAAGTTAGTTACATAATCTCCATGTGATTTTATTTGCTAATTTCTTTTGCCAAAAAAAAAAAACATCATAATAATAATTTAAAATTCTTAGACGACTTATCACCAACCTTTTGATCGCTTTCTTCAACACACCACGTGGAGATAGTAAAAGATACGAAATTTTACAATTGATGGCAAATATGTTGCATTGGACAGAGGAACAAAAGGAACAAGTAGGTTTGATAAGAAGAGCATTGACCAACCGGTCTGTAGAAGATAGATCGAGTGGATGGGTGTCAGGTTTGTGGACCCCTACTCTTGAGAGAACACGGAGTCGATTATCAGAAGAAGTTCCTAGACCAACTATTCGTATATCTGAAGATGAAGGTCCTAAAGAGGTAATTTTTTTTTAAAAAAAAAAAACAATTATTATTATTATTTTAATGCATATTTTCTTTTAATATTTATTTTTAGTCATTTTCTGATATGTGGATATCATTTTTACTTAAAGAAGTCAATAAGGAAAATAAACCTATCAGTAATAGTAATAGTAATAGTAATTATTCAAATTCAAAACAAGAAGGATAATTTAATTTCGGCTTTGTAAGCTATAATAAAGAAATCCATTTAATAACCATAGTAATTATTATAATGAAGGTTTTTTATATAATTATGTGTAATTTGATCTATCGAGATATCAATGATCCTTTTATTAAATTTTTTTTTCTTCTTTTATGGTTTGTGAATAAGGAAGATGTATATTTAGAAAGATAATAGCTTGGAAATGATGATGATTGAAAAGAAATCATTATAAAGTCAGACAAAAATCATGATTATATAAATATTAAATTAGAATACATCTCAATATAATTTTTACCAACATATACATCAATATTTATCTGTACTATTTTATAACTTCCTAAATTATAATATTTATGTAAAGATAATTCATGTTGATTTATAAATTTAATAGTTAAATATATGAAAATAATAACAATAATTTAATTGGAATCTTTTTATTAAATTTATATATTTTTTTTATATAAATATTATATAATTTACAACTGAAAATTAAAAATCATATATTAATATAAATTAACTAATTAAATATATTATATTCATTATAATATTTAATATTTAATATATAAAATGCATATAATAAATAAATTTAATTTCTATATATTTAAAATTACAATTATATATAATATTACATATAGGATTATCAAAAATACTAATTTTTATAATATTATAATATTTTTCATTAAATTCTAATTCATAATAAATATCCTATTTATATAATAAATTATCAGAAAATTTATTAATAATTAAATATTAATAAATGTTATATCATTAAATATTATATATGTATTTAAGATCAAAAATATAACAAGTTGAATGATTAGAATATAAATCTTTTATATACTACTTAAAATGCTATTTAAAAAATAAAATGAAGACATTTTATAAGATTCTTAAATTTTATACCAAAAAATAGAGAATTTTAAATACTATTTTATATATTGAATTATTCAATAATAAATTATTTAAATATTACTAAACTTTTAAAATTTATAAATTAATTTTAATATACAATATATAAAATTTATTAATTTGAATCATAATTCATTAATCAATTTTATAAATTATATTTTATAATAAGTAATGATTCAAATTAACAAAATATTTATATAAAATAATAAAGATTATATTTATAAAAAATTAAAATTTTAAGCTAATTTAAAGTGATAAATTTAATATAATAATAACATATATGTATTTAAAGATTTTAAATATTTTAAATATTATATTTTTATATCATTTTTTTTAAAAAATTAATAATTAAAATTAAATTAAAATTTTATATATTATAAATATTAAATGAAATATAACATTTTGCAAATTATTTAAATAATAAAAGTAAATTTAGTAAATTATATTAAAAATCTATGAAACTTAGCAAAAGGTAATATTAAATCAAAACTTATTAAAAATAATAGAATTATATTAAAATCTTAATAAAAAATTAATAAAACTAAAATTTAAATATTTTATTAAATCCAAAATGAGTTTAAATAAGCAATCTTAATTATAATATGATCTTTTATCTAATTTATATAAAAATTTTATTTAATTTAAATCATAGGTTATTGAAAAATTAAATGTGAAATTAATTATAAAAAGCAATTAAAATTTATTAAAATTTTATATATTAGTTTTTTAATAACTTGTAATTCAAATTAAATAAAATTTTTATTTATTATATGGGCTCTTTATAACAGAAAGAGAAAAAACTACTAAAAAAAATTTTTTTTGCTTTATAAGCTAAAAATTATTTTTTTTAATAAAATAAGTTCAAATTTAACATTAAATTAAAAAAATTTTTTTTGGTAGTTTCCTCCCTTTCTATTACAAAGAGCCCATATATTATAATTATATTTATAAATATAAAATTTAATAAATTTATTGTAATCAAGAAATTTATCAAATATATTATAATAATTATAATAATAAATTTACTAATTAAAATATTAACAATATTTATAATATATATATAATAAAAAAATTAATTTTTTTAATATCTATTTATTAATATATAATTTCAATAATTTGATCAAAGTTATTTATAATTAAATAAATAAATATTAGATAAATTTGCTATTAGACAATTATTATTAGAAAAATAAATGAAAAATTACTATTAAAAATTATTGTTAATAATTATTAATTAATAATATATAAAATAATAAAAAAAAATATTTTTTATTATATTGAAAATTATAAGATTTTTACAATAAAATTATATTTTTTAACAAATTAATATTTTTTGTGATTAATTTATACTAAAAGAAAATTTAATAGATTTATTATAATTTATAAAATTAGTACTTATTTATTATTATTATAAATAGTACTTAAGTTGCATAATGAGAATATTAGTATTTTATAAAAATTATTTAAATCTTTAGCTAATATTTAATACAAATTAGATCTATTATTCAAAATAAATATAAAATATTAAAAAAAATTATATTTATTACATTAAAATTATAAGATTTTTATAATGAAATTATTTGCTTTTCAAAAAAATTATATATTTTTTTTAATAAATTAATTTATTTATAATTGATTTATATTAAAATAAAAGAATTAATAAATTTATTTTAATATAATTATGGTATTTGTTTGATACTATAATATTTAGGCTATATAATAAAAATATCAGTATTTTAATAACTTAAAAAAATTTTAAATTTCTAATTGATATTTATACAAATTAGATCTTACTACTCAAAATAAATATGTAAACTTAAAGTATTTAGAGTCTCATTTCTTAAAATAAAAAAATAAAAAAGAATAAAAAAATAAAGTCAATTTGAAAAAAGCAAAAAAGGTAAAAAAAAATATATATTTATATAAAAATAAAAAAAACAAAAAAATTCTGATAAAAAAAAAATAGAATAATTAGTAAATATAAATATATTGTTAAAAATATATAAAGTTATTAAAGAATATTTATATTTACAATTCTCTGATATATCTATTAAAAAGAAAATAAAATTATTATTAAATAAGTATAAATTTATCAAAATATTAAAACTTTTAAAAAAAATTTGTATTTACCATTTTGAATTAATGAATCTGATACTTGTACTATAAAAAAATAAAATTATTACTAAGTATAAATTTATCAAAAAATCAAAACTTTAAAAACATTTGTATTTATTGTTTGAAACTAATAGCTCTACTACTACTAAAAAGAAAATAAAGTTATTATTAAACATAAATTTATCAAAATATTAAAACTTTTAAAGAAAGTATATATTAATCATTTTTTTTACAGAAGTTTTTACTTTTTATAAAAAGAAAAAAAAATTAGCAAAGCAAAATAATTCCTTATTTTCATATTTGGATGATCTTGATGTAATTTATTACTTCTAACAATATTATGTTGTCGCTGACCAAAGTCAAAGCTCATGGATCAGATGAACTTAACAATAAAGTAGATGCTTTAGCAAAACAACTCTCTGGTGACTCTTTGAGTATTAATAGTAACCACCTAGGTCTTAAATACTTCATGAGCTATAATAATACACCAATCATCACACCATCACGTTTATTCATTAAATACATGCAATAAGCATCTTGGATTGGAATACTTTTATCCCTTCCCCAATTTACAAAGTATTACAATTTTCACATTGATTGGCAAACTCTTTTTTATGTTCTTAATGATTCAGAAAATTCTAGGGTGATATCATTTGATGCGTGCAAACGGAAGCAATTCAAGATCAAATTGTTATTACAACTGCTTTCCACTTTCACAATAATGAATGCATAATATCCCCAACTTTATATCACTAATACCTGCTTCCAGTGTAATACTGCAACTGAAGACTTTGATCACATTTGGTCTTATTCTTAAAATACAATTTCTCTTACTGACTTAATATAGAAGCACAAACAGTCTTTCTTGTCTCAACTCAAAGAACTTAATAGACCTAACAATGATACTTTAATTGATGATATCGATCAATCTTCAATATGGTA